TTCTGTACCACATGTGTTTACACACAGCCAATGGCTGCCTTCAGCACAGTGAGAGAGAAACTATGTGGCTTGTAGCTACGTTGCCAAAATATTTGTTATCTGGTTCATTACAGAAAAAACAATTGCGGAATTTGGTTTTATAGAAAATGAACAAAAGGTTGACTCAAAAACTTATGATAAAATTTATATTATTCAGAAAGAAATAAGCAAGATCTATACATGCTATTGGATCACTTCTCTTCCTGGATGTTTGGAATCATGACATTAAGGGTAGAAGCCCAATGAAAAAGGATATAATATAATAAAAATTAATTTACATGCTAACTTTTTATTATTTAATCAACAAATCAGTGACATTAAGGCAGGGAATATTTTAAAAACCTAAAGGCAAAAATATGACATTGTTCTTGGATAAATAAAAGGTCTAAGTGATTGTTTTATGGTTTATTTTTAATAAAATTTCATTCTGTTTCTTAAAGTAAGACCCATAATTCTTGACTTTAGAGTTTTTTTTTTTTTTTGAAAAGGCATGTCTAATGTTTTTACTCTTCCTCATACTTACTCTGTTTCTTCTCATTATCCAAAGAGTCACTTAGATTAATGACAAACATTTTAGTAGAAAAAAAATCCAAAATGAAATCCTGGCCATGTCTCTTCAATGGTGGATAAACTCCCAAAGCCTGCATTAAAAGCCTGGTCTACAGAGCAAGGTCCAGGACAGACAAAGCTACACAGAGAAACTCTGTCTCAAAAAACAAACAAAAAAATGATGATTCTTAAAAATCAAAGTTAAAGTTCTGCAGAGGGGAATAAAAGAAAAGCATGATGGAAATAAGCATTACCCTGGGAAGATGTAATTTCTCTAAACCATAGAGAAATGTTTTGTGTTCTCCAAAGTGTAAACCTGGGTTATATCGGGTTTGGCATGTAGAACACTTGACTGAGATGTGGATTGATGAAGCTCCAAAAGACTGGAAATTAGCAGAGAAATAGAGGGTGACCACAGAGAGGGAACAGAGTTTGCCTTTAGAAGCAGCTGCTTTGTGGTCCTACCAATCAATATTCTCAGGTCATCAACTCATAGCCTGCCTGCCCTGCTTGCCTGCCCTGCCTGCCCTGCTCTATCCTGCCCTTCATGCCCTGCCTGTCCTGTCTGCCTGCTGCCTGCTGCCTGTCTGCTCTGCCTGCCCTGCCTGCCCTGCCCTACCAACCTGCCTTTCCCTCAGTTTCAGTTGAATAAAAATCTTCCAACATTATCTCCTCAGCATTCAACTACAGCCTCTGTGTGTAGTGGCATCTTGCTTTGCCAGTGAATTTGTAGTGGTGGCCACATCCTTTGGGCATGGTTTCAGGTACAGACCTGACCCATTATAAGGTAGAGGAGGGGCTGGCTCAAGCTTTCTTGGGTTGCAGAAAGCATTGGAAGGACAGAGACTGCATCTTGTGGAGCAGGAAGACCATGGTGGTTATTTACTCTACTCTGTGTAAGTCCTTCCCTAATAAACATCAGTTTATCATTTATCTTGGTCTGGTGAACTCATCTAAACCCCACCATCATCTGTGCAAGCCCATCTGCTCGGCCCTGATTAGAGCCAGCTATTCAATAGCAAAATGTTCTAACCTCTGTCACCTCTCACCTCTGGTTTAGTATTGTCTTGTGATGCTAGAAACACCGAGAACTGACATATTGCTGCTTCCTGTATGCTCTTTGTATGAGTAACAAACTGTCTAATTCATTTGAGCCAGTCTCCCTGCTGGTGGGATCCATCTAAATGAAGTATGTCAATCTCACAGCTTCTGCATCATTATGGGCCTGCTGCAAATCACTCTGTTGCTTGGTAACCATGACACTCCAACAAGGTCTAAGAGTATGTAGCTCTGAGAGTCTGCATGTCAGTAGGAGTGGAGCATGATGGAACCCACGTAATTATTCAACTTACCAGAAAACTACCTGGGTTATTTTGGAAATCATGATGAATACGCTGGTTTAGCTTCCTGGTAGCTTAAAAATGTAAAACAAATGACTGAACAAACAAGAAATACCCAGAAGCCAAGGACAGAGGGATCAGTGGAAATCTACAGCCAAGAAAAAAACTCATTTCAACAGACAGGCAGAATGTGGAAGATGAGGTTCAGGGAAAAAAACAGATGGAAGCTTCTGAAGCTGAAGCCCAGCCTCTAAAGAGGAGATAGGAGAGACTTATCCAGTCTGAGTGCCTTACACTCAGAGCAGCAGCCTGCTGCATGTTATAGGGATTGGGGATTAATGACTTACGGGGGCCAATTACCCAGTAGGACCAGACCCTCTGCCTCTGGGGTTCATGGAGCTCTGTACCATATCTAGCTGCCTATATATCAAGATAAACTGGTAAGAGAGGATCCTGGCCCTGGAAATGTTCAGCATTCAAGTCATAAAACATGATTGGTTCTAAGCCAACTGAGATATAGAACAAGGCATGTTTTGCAGCAGTGTGCCTAGCACTAGTGGTGCCCTGCCCATTCACCTCAGATGCACACATGGTGGTGAATGCTCTCTAATGGTAGAGACCACAGAGCCTAAGCCAGTCTGACTCTATTTCACCCTGCCAACTATTCACCAGTAAAATTGAGGATGAAACCAAATGGAAAACTGAGGATGTTTATAAGTGATGCATTTTGAATTCTTGCAAATGCTAAAATTCTTGAGAATGAGACTAGTATTATGCTTATACATGATATAAATCATTGTTACGTGGGAGAGGAGAGTGGGAAAGAATCTTACCATGCAGACCATGTTGGCCTGGAAGTTGCCATCTTAGTGTATCAGCCTCCTGGGTGCTGGGATTACAGGCATACAGCATGCTTCCTGGATAATTCTTCTTAAAATAAATACTGAAGTATTGATGAAACTCATAACCTCTATTAACTCCTCTTCAATGGTTCTTGCAACAAATTGTGTACACAACACACACACACACACACACACACACACACAC